TATTATTTAAGTTTAGCATATTTAAATATTTATTATTTAGCATATTAAAATACGATTTAACTTAGAGAAAACTAGAATCATTTTCTAAACTCAGAAGTCTTCATTTTTTTATTTGCAATTTCCTTTTTATTTTATATCTCCCTTACCAAAGCATTTCATAAATGTTTGTTCTTTGTTTAACTTACTCTTTTCAGAATAGCATTTTTATTAGCAACTGATTTTAATAAATTTCGATAAACCTGATTTCACAGTAATCTTGACATTACTCTTCATTAATTAGAATTAGATTCTTGTCCAAGCAATGCGTCTGAATGCAGCCATGACTGTGTGCTGACATCAGATGGCCCTGTATGTTTCTGTCCTGAAGGCTCAGCACTTGAGGCAGATGGAAAAACGTGCAGTGGTAAGCTTACTTACTTTTTGCTTGAAAACACTCATTTGCAAAGCGACACCTAAAAATTGATCTTATTGCCAAAGGAGAATAGATTTTCCAACAGTGGAAGATATTCATGCAATAGATTAACAAATAGAAAACCCCGAGATAACATTACCAGTTACCAGTGGCATTATTTTGGACTTGGAATTTGACCTCTGTTGGTCTCAGTTTCCTCATCTATAAAGCTTAGTTATACCTGTCTTCTAGATTTGTGGCCAGCATTAAACAAGATGGCAGATGCAAAGTGGTTAGCCTGTTCCTCACATCTAATAAGCACTTAATAAATGTCCTTCTCCACTTTTATCTTCATAGAGACTTAAGCATATGGGAGGCTGGATATAACTCAACATTAGCAGAAGAGTTACAAGTGACTTTTTTTCTTTTTTTTGTTAATAAAGAAAGTGAAATAACTCAACGGCCCAAAAATGTAAGGGAGAGAAAAAGAATTACTCACTAGGAAGAGTTAGACCAGCCACCAAACGCGCCTAAATGTCCTTACTCCATCCAGCTGCCAGTGCGCTTGTTCTCCAATGCACTGCTAGAACCAGAGAAGACAGGCCATTTGGCTGTGAAGAGTTAATACCCAAAATTTATGGTTATAGGGGAGTGGGATACAGTGGCGTTTCCTCCTAGTGTCTGAAAAATCAACTAAATTGCAGCAGTTTAAACATCCATGGAAGTGGTTTTAAAAAAAATCAACACATGCTTGGCTCACCTCAATATTTTGATGAAGATTTGTTACATTTTTTAATCCCATGGACTCTTTACCAGCCGATTGTTTTTTGTAGGTTGTTTGTTATCTGATAATGGTGGATGTAGCCAGCTCTGCGTCCCCCTCAGCCCGCTCTCCTGGGAATGCGGTTGCTTTCCTGGGTATGAACTACAGCTGGACAAAAAAAGCTGTGCAGCTTCAGGTTAGTGAAGTGGATGTTTGAAAATGTGTCTCTGCAAAAAGAGTAAGTGAAAACAGCGTTTCATTTAGAAAAATGGAGGTTGGATTGTTTTTGGATTCTGGCTAGTAAGTTGGATTTTTTATTTTTGGAAATAAGGAACAGGGTACTCTCCATGTAAATAATAATCATACATCTTTACAGAATATTTCTAAGTTAATTCGCATCCAGCAAAGATTTGCTGTAGCATCCGGCAAGGTATTCTGGGATATGGAAAAGTCATTATCAGAGTGGTCTTACAGCAATTTAAAGTTAAGCAGGATTTGATAAATATTTGTTGATTGATTGGTTTGGTTTTCAGCTTCCAGTGAATGTAAGAACCCTGATACTTTGACAAATTCTGTGCTTTTTATGTCAAAATTTAATATGAAGGCATGTGCTTCAGCTATTTTTTCATCTTCCAATATCACTTCTCTTACATCCTTCAATGGCCTTGGAAATCCTAGACTTATTATACCAAATGGATTTCATTTCTCCAGAAGTTTCATTAAGCTTGTAATCTAGGATCACATAATGATGAGCCTGCATAACTTGCTTTTGTCAGACCCCAATACGCTTAACTTCTCAGCACCTCAGTTATTATTACATAATCTAAGTCCTGAAAATTAACAGGGGTCTTGCTATTAACTCAGGTAATCATGCCTCCCTTGCAGAAGTGCCTAGGCCAGGCAAGAATATTTATATGGACACGAATCTACACAATTTGCTAATATGTTTCATTATATGAATCAAGGAGACTAGAGCATTAATACTTGAATCATTTGTCTGTGGTATTAATTATTACGAGTCCCTGGGTGGGTCAAACGGTTAAGTGCTTGACTACTAGCCAAAACGTTGGTGGTTCAGACTCAACCAGAGGTGCCTCAGAAGACTGGCCTGGCTATCTACTTCTGAAAGGTCACAACCTTGAAAACTCTATGGAACACAGTTCTTCACTGTACACGTGGGGTTGCCATGAGTTGGAATCGACTTGACAGCAACTCACACCAACTAGGACAACATCGGTTATTTAATACTGGCTCTTCCTAGAAGTAATTTGCATTTTAAAAGCAGACACCTAAAGAGGGAGGAATCCAGTGATGAAATTCTGGCACTATGTCACCTCTTGGAAGTGAAAGTCTTCTTGCCTGTCTTAACCAATGCCATATTGGTAGGAAATTAAAAAAAAAACACAAGTACTACAGAAATTAAGGAAGAAAATGCAATGAAAGGAAGGAGGCGAAGTGCCTTTTGGGTTCCAAGGCATATTTTAAATATTTGAAATTTGGTTAACAGGACCACAACCATTTTTGCTGTTTGCCAATTCTCAAGATATTCGACACATGCATTTTGATGGAACAGATTATGAAATCCTGCTCAGTCAGCAGATGGGAATGGTTTTTGCCCTAGACCACGACCCTGTGGAAAATAAGGTACGGTTTTGTCACTGAGCAGATGTGGATGTGCTTTAAAGACAGCGTAGAGGATTTTATCCCAACAGATGTCCTAAGCCACTTGAAAATCCTCTGCTAAGCTCAGAATGATTAGGCAGAGAAGAAGTTAAATATAGACATTGGAGTATTATTTGAGAAATTTTAAGGACTTTCTAGTTATCATCCATCACCCTGCCTCATTTCTTGCTGTGATCCAGCTGTTTTACTGGAGATGAGAGCAAGAAGCTAGTGTGGTGCTGTAGACATAGGAGGGGCTCCCAAAATACGTTTTGGATTATTTGCTTGTGGTGGGAGGAGTGGGTGGCTGGAGTTGGGGTACAGGAAACATGATTAGTAATTTGCATTTAATATATGTCACTAAAGAAGGAGACTCAATGACCTCTTAACCAGAAAACCAGAAAACAGATTTTATGGTTCATTGCGCGAATAGCAGTATAGCTTATAATTAACCAATTTTGCCTTACGGTTTTTGTATATAACGTATACTTGCTATGTTATCAATTTGATCAGCTGGCCATTTGGTCTTTAATATCTAGTTGCAGGGTCACTCTGAGTCAGAACTGACTCGACGGCAATGGGTCTTGTATTTGTGCTGGGTTAGAATGTGCTTAAAGTATGTTACAGTGTCTTTTAGATATTAATCACTCATTACTTATAAACTTACAGTTATTGATCCCCCTATCTAATTATTAGGAGCCATGGTGGCGCAGTGGCTAAAGCACCTGGCTGCTAACTGAAAGGTTGGTGTCCAGTGGTTCAAACCCACCAGCCACTCCACAGGAGAAAGATGTGGTGGCCTGCTCCCGTAAGGATTGCAACCTCGGAAACCTTATAGGGCAGTTCTACTCTGTCCTATCAGGTTGCTATGGGTCAGAATTGACTCAACATAGTGGGTCATGTAATTAGTTATACCTAGATTATGAATGAATACCTAGAATTATTTTAAACTATGCTTTGTTTCTTCCTGATTTGGAGGAGTCTGGGAATGGCCGAAAAAGACAAGGTGAAGCAAATTGATTCTGGCTCTAATATGTATGGAATGATAGTTGCATATAATTACTTTTACAAATAGAAGGCTTGTGATTAAGCACTAACAAACAAACATTTCTTCTTTCTTTTCCCTGAACTGAATCTGTGTGACTCCATGGAACAATTCTACTAACAGGAAAAAAATAGATAACAGAAAATAAATCATTGTTACCACCCTAGTTTTTCCCTGCACAGCTAGGTGAATGAGGAGACCTAAAATAAACTTTAAGTCAGCTGGCTGTTCTTAATTTCTCTATTCAGTTTCTCATTTTTCTGCTACTCAAATAGCGGTCCTCAGACTAACAACACTGACATCACCTGGAGCTTGTTAGAACTGCAGACTCTCACGCCCCACCCCCGCCCCCTGAATCAGGCTCTGCAGTCTCACAGCATCCACGGCGATTCGTGCAAACGTGTCGAGTTTTAAAAGCACAGCTCTAGCAGAGGATTTGTGAGTATGAAAAATACTCATTTTTGTATTTAAGAAATAAAACCAGTTGCCATCAAGTCGATTTCCACTCATGGAAAGCACATGAGTGTAAAAGTATGATTGTACTCCATAGGGTTTTCAGTGACTGATACTCGAAAGTACATCACCAGGCATTTCTTCTGAGTTGCCTCTGGGTGGATTTGAACTGCCAACTTTTCAGTTAGCTGCTGAGAGGGCGAAGTGTTTGCACCACCTGGGGACTCCATTTAAGGAATAAAGCCAAAAACAAACAAAAAACCCAAACTCACTGCTGTCAGGTCGATTCCAACTCATAGTGACCCTATAGGACAGAGTAGAACTGCCCTATAGGTTTCCAAGGCTGTAAATCTTTACAGACGCAGACTGCCACATCTTTCTCCCACAGAGCAGCTGTTTTAATATTTTATATAGAGAGGTGGATAATCCATTATTTAGTGAATTGTTTTGTGAATATTCTTGTCCTTGATTATCGGTATGAATATATATGTATTCACAGTTAAAATTCCATAAATGCTATTATTAAATTGTAGGCAGATGAGTGGCATTTTTTAACACTTCATGAAATTCTTGTACCTGTTTGATAACCTGCATACTAGGCCGAACTTAGCACCTACAAGGTATGCTGTATTGGACAAAATGGATTAATTAAAATGAAATTATATAAGGTTAGAGATGAAAGGAACTTTAGCAAATATCTAGTCTCACTCACTTTTACAGTTAAGAAAATTGAGGCTCAGTGAAGTTAAATGACTCAGCCAAGGCAACCAGGCCAACACATGGCGAACCTGGGATAGCAAGTCGTGCCTTCTGCCTTGCAGTGCGGTAGACTGCTGTGGACCGAGCTTGTAGCCACCGTTAAACTGCAAGTCATTGCTCCTTCTGGGCTGTAGAAGGCAGTGGGGTTCAAGGGCAATGACTATGTTATTGACCAATGATCAAAGATTAATAAATTACCAGTAACAATAGAGATTTGTGCCATGCACGGGGTTAAGAATTATATATAGATATGTATATATAATCTCATGTAATCCATTGTTCTCCCCATTTTATCAATGAGGAAACTAGGGCTTAGAGACAATGAGTAACTTGCCTAAGGTTACTTGTATCTGGGAAGCAGCATAGCTGGAATTCAAGTCCAGGTGTGTCTGTCACCAAAACCATGCTCTTAATAATTGCACTGTGACTACTTGAAGAATTACTAACCCCACTTGTATATATTCACCTTAATTTTATTTTTACAAGTAAGACCAAAAATGCCTGTGTTCTCTTTTGTAGATATACTTTGCCGACACAGCCCTGAAGTGCATACAGAGAGTTAATCTGGATGGTTCCAAGAGAGAAAGGCTTATTGAGGATGCAGTTGATGTGCCGGAAGGTCTTGCTATAGATTGGATTAACCGTAAATTGTACTGGACAGACAGAGGGTATGTTTCCTCCTTCAGTTTTAAGCCACGTGGGATGGAAGTGGTGGGCTGATAATATCGCCGGCTTGATTCTCCACTTTGTACTCAGGGAAGTATTGCTGGGCACTTGGCTGGGATTGGAGGAAAGATGCCCACATTGACGTTTACGCTTGCCCTGGTCCTCCTCCCCACCACCAAGCAGGACATTGCCCCCTTCATCAAGACTGGATCTGTACCCATGGGAGAATGTTAAGGACCAAGAAAGTAGTATACATTTTTGCAGTTTAGCCTGTTGCAAGCAGAGAAAAACAAAACCTGTCGGAATTCAATCAACAAGCATTTTGATCATCTGCCGTGGATAAGGCACTTTCCTAGGTACAATGGAGAATACAAAGGAGCATGGGACGTGCTTCCCATTCTTTTGGTCAGTGCACAGTTTAGCTGGGCAGATAAGGCACCTTCACACAGGAAAAAAAAAAAGCATGGCTTAAATACCAATACAAGAAATGTCACAAGGCCATACATGAATAATTGCCAAATGAAGGTGCACCTCCCCAAGGGAGGGCTGGAAAAGGCTGCAGGGACCAGCTAGCACAACCCCTCGTTTTACAGATGAGGAAACTAAAGCTCAGAGAGGCCTAGTGATTGATGCAAGGTTATACAGTGTGAAAGGGACGAATCTCAGGCTAGAATCCAGGTTTGGACTTCCTGCTAAGTGAGCATGGAAGAGAGAGCAAGAGCTTCACAATGGCGTTGTGAGGAAAATCTTTGTGAGGAGGGAGTCGAGATCAACAACAAGCAGAGTGAGATTGTGGTGCAGGACACCACTCTAGGGGCTGCGTGTAGAACTGCGTCTAGGCTCCTGTGTGTGTGTGTGTGTGTGTGTGTGTGTGTGTGTGTGTGTGTGTG